AAAGCTCAATATCTTCAGCCAAAACCAGGCCAGGAGCTGATTGCGGAACAGACCATCAGTTACTCATATGAAAGTTCAACTTGAAGTTGAAGACAATTAAAACAAGTCCATGAGAGACAAAGTATGACTTGAATATATCTCTCTTGAATTTGGAGACCATCTAAAAAATAGATTTGATGAATTGAACACCAATGACCAAAAATCAGAGAAATTGTGGGATGACTTCAAGAACATCATCCATGAAGAAAGCAAAAGGTTGTTTAAAAGACAGGAATGAAAGAAAAGACCAAAATAGATGTCAGAAGAGTCTCTGAAACTTGCACTTGAATGGAGAGTAGCTAAAGCAAATGCAAGAAATTAAAAGATAAAAGAGCTGAACAGAAGATTTCAAAGAGCAGCTCAAAAAGACAAAGTCAATTATTATAATGAAATGTGCAAAGACCTGGAATTAGAAAACCAAAAGGGAAAAACATACTTGGCATTTCTCAAGCTAGAAGAACTGAAGAAAAAATAAAAACAAGCCTCGAGCTGCAATATTGAAAGATTCTATGGGCAAAATATTCAGTGATGCAGGAAACATCAAAAGAAGATGGAAGGAATACACTGTACCAAAAAGAATTGGTTGATGTTCATCCATTTCAGAAGGTGGCATATGATCAAGAACAAACGGTATTGAAGGAAGAAGTTGAAGTTACACTGAAGGAAGTGTCAAAAGACAAGGGTCCAGGAATTGATGGGATACCCACTGAGATGTTTCAACAAATGAATGCCTTGCTGGAGACACTCACTCGGCTATGCCAAGAGATTTGGCAGATTTGGCCAACTGACTGGAAGATATCCATATTTGTACCAATTCCAAAGAAAGGTGATCCCACAGAATGTTGAAATTATGGAACAATATCATTAATGTCACATGCAAGTAAAATCTTACTGAAGATAATTCAAACATGCTTGCAGCAGTATGTCGACCAAGAACTTCCAGAAATGAAAGCTGGGTTCCAAAGAGGATGTGGAAGGAGGGATATCATTGCTGGTGTCAGATGGATCTTGGCTCAAAGCCAAGAATACCAGAAAGATGTTTACTTGTGTTTTATTGACTATGCAAAAGTATTCAATTGTATGGATCATAACAAATTATGGATAACATTGAGAAGAGTGGGAATTCCAGAACACTTAATTTTACTCATGAGGAACCTGTACATAGACCAGGAGGCTGTCATTCAAACAGAACAAGGGTTTAAAATCAAGAAGGGAGGGCATCAGGGTTGTATTCTTTCACCAAATTTATTCAATTTGTAGGAGCTCTGGTAGCATGGTGCCTAAGGCACTTAACTGCTAACGAGAAGGCTAGTGGTTTAAATCCCCCAGCCACTCCTCGGAAGGAAGGTTGGGCAATCTACTTCTGTAGAGATAGCGCCTCAGAAACCCAAGGAGAGGTCGCTATGAGTAGGGGCCTACTTAATGGCATATAACAACAACATTCAATCTGTATACTGAGCAAATAATCTGAGTAGCTGGACTATATGAAGAAGAATGTGGCATCAGGATTGGAGGAAGAATCATTAACAACTTTTGATACGCTGACGACACAACTTTGCATGCTGAAAGTGAGGATGATTTGAAATACTTACTGATGAAGTTTGAAGAATACAATGTGCAGTATGAAATATATGTCAATATAAAGAAAGTAAGAATCCTCACAACTGGAGCAATAAACAGCATCATAGTAAATGGAGAAAAGATTGAAGTTGTCAGAGAATTCACATTGCTTGGTTCTACAATCCACGCCGCTGGAAGCAGCAGTCGGGACATCAGACAAAGTATGTTGTTGTTGTTGTTGTTATGTGCCGTCGAGTCGGACCCAACTCCTAGTGACCCCTCCTTGGGTTTCTGAGGCAGTATCACTATGGAAGTAGATTGCCCCATCCTCCTTCTGAGGAGTGGCTGGTGGGTTTGAACCACCAGCCTTCTGGTTAGCAGTCAATTGCCTTAGGCACTACGCTACCAGAGCTCCCAGATGAAGTATAGCACTGGGCAAGTCAGCTGCAAAAGACCTCTTTCAAGTGCTGAGGAGCAAAGATGTCTCCTTGAGGACTAAGTTGTGCCTGACACAAGCCATGTGTCATGTCATGTCATTGAATAGCATCATATGCATATGAAAGCTGGACAACGAACAAGGAAGACCAAAGAAGAGTTGATGCTTTGGAGTTGTGGTGTTGGTAAAGAATACTGAAAGTACCATGGATTCCCAGTAGGAGTAACAAATCTGTCCTGGAGGAAGTGCAGCTTGAAGGATCCTTGGAAGTGAGAATGGCCAGACTTTGTCTCACTTACTATGGTCATGTTGTAAGAAGTGACCATTCCCTGGAGAAGGATATCATCCTTGGTAAAGTGGAAGGTCAACAAAGGAGAGCAAGGCCCTTAAAAAGATGGATTGACAAAGCGGCTACAATGATGGACTCAGGTATAGCACGGATTGTGGAGGTGGCACAGGACTAGTCAGTGTTTTGTTCTGCTGTACATAGGGTTGCTATGAGTCGGAGATGACTCGACAGCATCTAACAACAACATCTGTAGAAACTGATGGAAGTTTCAATACATGAAACAGAAATTCAAAGAGGACCAGATCTGGTATGGGGGGTGGGGAAGAGCAGAGCTATTATGCCTGAAATTCCTATGCCATGGCCATGTAGAGTTATCCAGAAAGTAACTGAATAGATAAGCCTAGAGTACAGGAAAGAGTTCTGAGCAGAGGATGCAGATTTAGAGAAAAACAAACAAAAATGATTGTTGTACGCTTAACTAAGAGTCATGGTGACCCCATATGTGTCAGAGCTGAAATATGCTCCATAGGTTTTCAAGGGCTGTGTTTTCAGAAGTAGATTGCCAGGTCTTTTTTCCAAGGTGCTTCCAGATGGCTTGAATCGCCAACCTTTCACTTAGCAGCTGAGCATGTTAAGCATTTGAACCACCCATGGACAGATTTGGGAAAAGGGAGTAGTAAGCATTTGCAATAAATTTTTATCTATCTTATTGATAGAAATACTCCTCCACAGTAAGGAACACAATTTAAAATGCAAACTGTATAAGCCCTTACTAAACATATTTTTTAAAACAAATAATGAATGAATAAAAGCTACTATAATGTAGCAAAAAGGAGATCTGGTGGCTCAGTGCTTAAAGCATTTGACTGCTAACCAGAGGTTGATGGTTCAAACCCACCAGCCACTCTGCAGAAGGAAGATAAGGGAATCTACTTCTGGAAAGACTGATTGCCTTGGAAATCCAACGGAAGTTTCTCTGAGTTAGAATCAACTTCATGGCAGTTTTTTTTTTTTTTTCAATAATGTAGCAAAAGAGTCTTTGTGTGGTGCAAATGATTAACAGCTTGGCTACTAACTGAAAGGTTGACAGTTCAAATCTACCCAAGGTGCCTTAAATTAAAGGCCTAGCAATCTACTTTCCAAAGATCACAGCAATTGAAAACCATGTCCAGCACACATGGAGTTGTCGTGAGTCAGAATTAACTCCATGGCAACTAGTCTTGCTTTGTTTTAGCTATGGTAACAAAAAGTTGCTATCTAATTATTGTAGTTTGTGTATCTGAAATGTATATGTATGTGAATGTGTCTGCATAGTTATCCATACACAAATATCCACACACTTATATATAAGATTTACAGTGACATAGTGCCTAAGGAGTTTGACTGCTAAGCAGAAGGTTGGTGGTTCAAACCCACCAGCCACTCCTCTGAAGGAAGGTTGGGCAATCTACTTCAGTAGTGATACCGCCTGGGAAACCCAGGGAGGGGTCACTATGAGTCGGATTCAACATAACGGCAGTGAGTTTGGTTTTTGGCTTGTGTGTGTACAGTTCATAAGAAGAGATATCAGACATTCAGACTCTCACTTTTCCTCTGACAAAGGAGAGGATCTCCTAAAATAAAAGATACTGTTCCGTGTCAAAACGATATACCAATTTAAAAGGAGAGAGTTGTTTGTTAAAAATAAGAGTTAGTTTGCTTATTCATAAAATATCCCTAATTATTTTCTACTTTACATGATTATATGGAAATACAATGATATTCCAACAGACAAGTTGTGTGTGTATGTGTGTGTGTGTGTGTGTGTGTGTGTGATCTGGGTGAAGGTTTATAGAGCAAATTGGTTTTCCATTCAATAGTTCATGCACATTCTGTTTCATGCCATTGGTTGCAATCCCCACACGATTTTTTTCTCCCCTCCTTCTTCATTTGGAGAGGATTATACACCACTTGCAAATAAGTAACATTAAGATAGTAGCTGCATGAGTTTAATCAATTGTTATTTTCTATTGCTCTATGGAAACCAGGTTGAGAAAGCCAGAAGGCTGACGTCCCACAAGAATGGCTTATGATGAAGGTGTAAACTTAAAGCAGAGAACGGTTGTAGAAAAATGTGTTGCATTCTTGGCGTATGCGCAATTGAAATGATGTTAAACTTTCATTTGCGGTTATAGTCAATGTAGGAGCTAATTTCGTTTTATTTAGCTCCTGCTCTTTGGACATTTTTATCTTTTGGCTCTGGCTTCTGAGTTGGTGGCCCGTAAAAAAAAAAAAAAAAAATACACCTAGAAAGCAGGAAAACACAACCTTGGCGGAAAGTTAACAAAGAAAGGGTGGAGACCCACGGAGCTTTGAGGGCGCGGAGTCACTCACATACCATTCTCCTCCCACAGTGATCCCACTGCTGGGAGGCGGAGAGGGCGGCAAACTTCGCTCCAATCCGAAGTCTGCCTGCCCTCCCCCGGGATCCCCCTACTGGGCGACGCTCCCGCAGAAGACCGAGGTAGAGGAACTTTGCTAAGCTCCGCCGCGGACCCTGGGGAGGGGAAGTGATTGCCCTCCTCACCAACGCCCCCTCATCGGGTCACCCCTCTCAGCCATCGCGCAACCTGGAGCGCTAGTGATAGGACTATCCGCAAGCACGCTTTGTGTGTATGCAAACCAGAACCAGCGCCCCTGGCTGACGGTCCCAGGCTGTGGCTTCGGCTGCCGTAAGCGACGCTGCCCTCGTCGGATCCGGGCACTGTCATGCTCCCGCCGCGCGGCGGGCGGCTGCGTCTCAGAGCCGCTATATAAGCTCGGGCAGGGGGCACCCGGAGGGGCTGAAGATGAAGGTGCCCGCGCATGGGCCCCCGCTGATTGCCAACCCCTCCCGAGCCCGCGCCCCGCGAGGAGTACGGGGCCGCCGAGGACCCGCCTTCGCCGCAGTAGCAGCTGGAGCAGCGACAGAGGCGGCAGCTGCGGCGGCGGCGGCGCCCCTCTTGCGAGTGCCTAAAGCGGCGGCCGCGGCAGCTTGGGGGCCGCCGCTGCCCCGGCTGCCATGAGTTGTGCGGAGGTGATGTATCACCCCCAGTCGTATGGAGCGTCCCAGTATCTGCCCAACCCTGTGGCAGCTACAACCTGCCCCACAGCCTACTACCATCCGGTGCCCCAACCTGGCCAGCAGGTGAGTCACCAACCCGGCAGCCTGCCGGAGGCGGGGGTAAGGGGCACCGGGAGTATCGGTCTGCGGCTCCCGCGAAGTCCTGACGGGACGGGTGTTGTGGAGGATGCTCTAAGACCTGCGGAAGCGCCCTTGAGCAGAAAGCCACCAGATCCGAGGAGGAGAGACTTCTGGAAGGGAAGAGAAAACTAGCTAGCTAGGCTGGACGGGTGGGCACTGGATGTAAGGCATTACTTGGCTGTGAGCTTCATTGACTTCTTGTCACCAGAGCTCAGAGGTTGGTCCACATAGCCACCTAGATTTAGGGCTCAGTTCTCTGAAGGTCACCAAGGGCATCTGTCTTAAACATATGTGAGTAAACTTCCTTTAAACCAAGTATTTTGTTTCCTTTGGAAAGGAAGAGTATTCCAGAGTTTTCTTGAGTCGGGATGAATTGTGCCATTGGATAGAGGAAGCCACCTGGGCAGTGATTTAATGGAATGACCTTTCTGGGGCGTTTATGGTAGAACAGAGAGCTACTGTAAATTGTCTCAAATGTTACCAGAACTTTGTCCTAGAGTCTGTCTTCTTTCTAGGACTATGACTTAGAGGGCTGGGACTGATCTCACAGTTCCTCATTCATTTTACTAATCTCATTAACAGCACAGAGCTTGTTAGAGTATTCAGTCTGTTGAAAGTGGGTCCCCCAGCTAAGAGGCAATCTTGGAATCTCTGGAAGCTGGGCCTTCACCATGCCAACAATAACTGAGAATGCTGGAGGCAAAAAGGGACTGTACAAGGGAGATAAAACAGTTTAGATAATATAGTTAATTTAGAAGGAAAAGTAGAGTTTTGGGGGAATTTGGCACTTGGTGCCCTGGAATTTTTTTTTTTTTTTTTTTAAATCCACAGGGGAAGTGTGACAAGGCTTAGATAGCTGTACATAAAATTCATATGTGCATATGTGACAAGGGCCTGTTCCAAAATAGACTGTCAATCAAGGTGAATTGATTTGGACTTAGTATGTACAATTTATATACTCTGAAGTGGAGATTCCTTTATGAGAACTAGATTAGGAAATTACCATCCACAGTACTGTTTAGTTTTCCAGTTTCTTAGGAATAACCAGCTTTAGTGTAACTTTTGGCCTTACAGTTTAAGCTTTTTCATTTATCTGACATTTTAATTCCTATATTTATTCTACCTTTGTCTCTGTGCTAGATTTATAGCTCTACTCTTTGAAAATGAATCATAACTTTTGTTTAGTATTTAGGGATTGGAAAGTCAGCTAGCTGATTATGGAAGGGTAAGCACCTCAGCTTCATCTCCTAAATCATGCAAGGAGATTGACCATCTCCAGTTAGGAAGAATGAGGAAAAAAAAGCCCTTCTTTCTTCCTACCACTTTTTCTTTTTCTAATCTTTAGCAACTTCTACTTTTCAAAGCAAAACAACTTTTGGAAAGGGGGATGGAAAAACGTTTTTAAATTTGTGTTCAGGGGGACAGAATAACATGTTTTGGTTATGTTTGTATTTATTTTGCTTTAAATATAAAAGATCCCACAAATAATGACAATAAAACCATTTAGATACAGTACAGGGAAGTGAGGCAAATTGAACCTGTATATCAGTTGTGTGTATTATACACATTTGGTCTGAGATGAACTACCCTTGCCTCCTTTTCTCTGCCTCAGAGGCTGTACAGATGCAGCAGATGTTTTGCATTGAGTTTATTCCAACTTATAGCAACCCTGTAGGACAGAGTAAGACTGCCCCATGGGGTTGCCAAGGTTGTAAATCTTTATAGAAGCGGCCTGCCACATCTTTCTTCCGTGGAATGGCTGGTGGGTTTGAATTGTGGACCTTTCAGTTAGCAGCTGAGTGCTTAATTACTGCACCTCCAGGGCTCCTTCAGAGATTGTAGAGACCTTCAATTATCAGTTAGAATGTGGACAAACAACAGACTCAAACTTTACTAAATATTGAGAAAGGTAAATAAATACCCTTTAAAAAACCTTGAACTAGTAGAAGGGGTTGTGAGTTACGTTTTATTTTCCAGAGTTGAACAATCCCATTAAAACATGAATCTATGGGTAGGTAGAATTGTAATTTTTTTTTTTTTAACTGGAAAATAAAATCCAGAAAAAAATAAAAATTAACAACCACCAAATTTAGTTTTCAATAAGAAATGGCCCCAGTCCTTTATCAAACTTTTCCAATAGCCCTGAAACTCAGTCCCTGAATTCTATTATTTTGTTAAAACCATCCACAAGGTAAATAATAAACTTTTTTTAAACCTGAATTGTCCATATTGATATTTGTAACATATGACCCATTTCTGCTACACTTTGGGCTTCTGTAGATAGGACTTAAGTAGTTATTAGACTGAGTTGACCATAAGAACTCAGTTGAGAAATGTGTTTGGAAATGTTCATGTCTCTTACACTAAAATGGCTTGCCTGAGATTACTTTTTTTTTTCCTTTTTTTATGGTCAAGCAAAGAAACTATTTAACCATATCTGGTTAGCAAAATGACAAGAAACTTGACAGTATAACTACTGTTCTTTTATTATCAGGAGTTTATTGTAATGACCTATATTTTCTAATGGAAAAAAGAGTAAATCAGGACATTCTTATCAGGCTGACAACATTTTTAGACTAATCTGATGCGTGGGTGAAGTGGGACTAATATTCACTTGGCCCTAATGCAGTCATTTGAGAATACATATTTTGGTTGTTTTTGCATTCCATAAGGTTTTATCATTATTAGCCATAAAGATTGTTTTCTCCGTACATGGGAAGTGACTCCTAATAGTATCTTGCCTGGGAGACAAAAATGAGAGCTACAACTCCTATTGCATTTGAAATTTTATTTGTTTATAAAGGAAAAGAAATAGAAACTATTGATAGAGTTTTAAGACACTTTAATGGACATTTATAAAATGGTACAAAAGAAAACTTTAAAGTTTTGGACAACTTTTGTATTCAATTTTAGCAATCTGTCCTTGAAGTGATTTTTTTTTTTTCCAAATTGTATAGCCCTAGAAATTAGCACATCATAATGGTTTATTATGATGGATTTCAACATAGGTCTGTTTTCCTCTTCGTATGATCATATAACTGAAAATTATTTCTGAAAAATAGAACTCTAGGCATATATGCTCTCAGCTTTTCCTCTAAAAGCACAAATACACATTTGATATTTTGACTTTAGTTTTCTATTGAAACTAGTGTAAGATGGATAGTAGGTGTATATCTTAAAAGCACAGTAAATTGCATATATATCAGATTGTCGTGGAGATGTGCCACTTAGGCATACAGGAGGCTACCTGAGTCCAAGGAAGCTGTGAATGTGCCTAAGACATTTGACTACTAACCAGAAGCCTGGGGGTTCAAACCCACCAGCTACACCTGGGAAGGAAAATTGGGCAATCTACTTCCGTAGTGATACTGCCTGGGAAACCCAGGAGGGGTCGCTATGAGTCAGATCCGACTCGACTGCAGTGAGTTTGGTTTTTTTTGCTTTTGATGTTAATTATTAGAAATTGCATGGCTATGAATAATTCTTACAGTGTAATCTTACAGTGTGTTTCAGAGAGCATGGACATTATTGAGGGGTGTTGAGCTCCCTCTCTGTTCCTCCTGTCCTCCATCTCTTTATAGCATTAGTATTCCAGCCCACAGCATCTCTTCAGGAGAACTCTTGACTGAATTTCCCAGAACATGCTCTGAAGGCACAGAGACACTGCAGAATAGGTGCAGAAAGGAATGAACATCCATTCTAACAATGATAGTAGAAACCAACAGAACAGTTTGAAATAGGCATCAGGAAAAAATTAAGGGAATTAATCTGAACTCATTGATTCTCCTTCTATCCAGTGGATTCTTATTTTAAATAAGGACAGTCTGTTGTGTAAACCCACACCATATTAATAATGATAATGTTAGGAAGATACAGAAGACCTTTCAGACTTGTGTAGTTTCTACATGAGGCAGTGAAAGTAGACAACAGTTGCTACTTTTCCTATTGTGCTTAGGTAGTTTTAACAATCACCCTCTGGACTTCATATAAGTTGTTGTTGTTGTTATGTGCCATCGAGTCGGAGCCGACTCATAGCGACCCCTCCTTGGGTTTCCGAGGCAGTATCACTACGGAAGTAGATTGCCCCATCTTCCTTCCGGGGAGTGGCTGGTGGGTCTGAACCGCCAGCCTTCTGGTTAGCAGTCAAGTGCCTTAGCCACTATGCTACCAGAGCTCCCTCATATAAGTTAGAACATATTTATTCTGCTCTCCTCAAGGGTGGCAGCTGGGTGAATCTGCATGCATGCTCTTATTTAATGTAATTAAATGCACTTGGAAGGCAGTATTCCAGTTGTAAGTTTGTAAGGAGTTTGTTTCAAACTCTTTCTCTGGGCTTGCCACCTTGGTTAAGTCATAAAACTGCTCAGAGACTCTGTTTGTGAAGAGAAAGCCCTAGAAAACGTTAGCTTTCTTTTTAACAAATGGAAAAAATGAACTGTCACAGGGCTGAAATGCCTGGCTAAAGATTTCAAAACAAATTGGTGGTCATATTGCGACCACCAGATTTCCTGATCCCCAATGTAATATCTTTCCACAATGCCAAGTAATCTCTCAAGCTTTTTCTTTGCTATTGCACAATAGACTTATTTTTTACTTTAGTGCTCCAAATCAACTTCTTTGATAAAGAAGATTAATATGCAGTGGATTCTTTGGCCTTGGAGCTTGAAATTCTTTCCAAGTCCTTGGTAGTGTACTTTTCAAGTTTAGGCATTCCAAAGGCCTTTTGCAAGCATTTGTATTATGCTAATGACTTTTGCTATCCATGTTGCATCCTATGTTGATGAGGCAGAATATCCACTTGGCAAATGAACATTCAGTTATCTTAAAATAAAATATGGGAAATGGTATTAACAGTCAGTTTTAAGTGCCTCATACATCATTGCTACTCTAACATAAGTTTAAATTCATTAAGAGAAAAGAATAGAATTTGACCCTAAATAGTT